GGGGGCGCTGCCCACCCTGCCACTTGCCCACCGGGCACTGCTCCATCCCCTAGCTGGCATAGATCCCGCTGGAGCTCCTCGCCCTCTGGGCCTACCCCTATGAGCCACCATGGCTGCCCGGGGGCCCCGGCCTGGCAGAGGGATGCCCTGAGAAATCAGAGAAGAGCTCAGCCTCCTTGGGTCTCTGCTGGCCCCATGGCACGGTATGGGGTGGGCAGAGCACGTGAGGGGGAGCCAGGACTCGCACATGGCCTGCTGGACTGGGCAGCTCTTAGCCACTCTCAGCTCTGGTAGGGGTCCAGCCAGGCAGGGTTTTGAGAAAGCCCCCAGTTGCCTGAGACCCTGCCCCCCAGCCTGGCGACACAGCGAGGAAGGGCTACGCCTGCAGCGGCTTGGCCAGCTCCCAGCAGCTCTTCAGCCTCCACCTAGCCAGGCGAGGATCAGAGGGGACCCAGCACAGAGCCCCAGGCCACCCAGTGACGTGCGGCTGTGCCGGCAGTGGGAACTGGAGTCTGGCGCTAGCCAGAGCGAAGGGAGGGCTCAGAGGGGCCTTGCATCCTTGGGCCCCCCAGAGTCCCAACCTTCCTGGCCTGGCAGCTTTGGTCTGTTCTGACAGGTGGGGACAGAGTGCAGCCAATGGGCCACGTGTGGGTCTGATGCTGGCTGCTGTGGGTGCACCTGGAGCTTCCTTTGCCAGCTGGACCAGATCGGCAGGGAGCCAAGTGGGCGGCGCTTACGCCCTGCGGTGGGGCTGGTCCCCCAGCTGCAGTGAGTCTCGGCTCTGCCTGCCAGCCCTGCACCCACCTGCCGAGTCCAACGGGGCGGTGCCCTCTGCCCGGATGATGGGGGTGGGGCAGGGAGCAGGGGGCCAAGAAGGCATTAGAGGCCTTATTCTCTCCTTCCTGTCAACTCCTTTCCCATCTCTGCCCCTCCCTGCTGGCCTCTCCCCGGGTGCTAAGTGGGCTCTGATGTTCCACCCCAGAGGTGGCTGCATGTGAGTGGCACAGAAGGGGACCCCTGGATAATATGTAATGGGCTGAGGGGGGCTCTCTTGATAATGGGATGCCCATCTGTCATCTTATAGACATTTCTCCCTTGCCTATTGTTCCCACCCTGCCCTGCGGTGCCCATCCCACCCCACTGTGCCCATCCTGCCCCCATGGTGCCCATCCTGCTGGGCTGATGGTGCATCCCATTAGTCCTAATAATGCTCAGCACAGCCCCGCCCCCCTCCCCTTGGTGAGGCTGGGGCCCACGTACCAGCGATCAGCAGGGTGATGCCGGCGGAGCGGGTCCGGGATGCCCTGGTGCTGCTGGAGAAGGCGGTGAGGCCCAGGATAATGCCCGCGAAGCAGGAGAGGATGGAGAGCAGCATGAATGCCCGGGTGGCATCCCAGAAGGCTGGAGGGAGGGACAGAGAGAGAGAGAGAGGAGCACTCCTTGGGACCCGGCGCTTGGAGATGGGCAACGGGAGCCGGCGCTCGTCCAAGGAGCAGGAGAGGAAAGGCCAGAGGAGGCGGCCAAAGGCAGGGCCAGTGGCTCCAGCACTCAGCAGAGTCTGTCGCTGCGCGGAGGGTGAGTGCTGGGCAGGACCGATGCAGAACTGAGAAACGCTGGGTCTGGGAGCCCCCTGCACAGCAGGCCAGTCCCCATGCAATCCCTGGGGTGAGGCCGTGGTCTCCTCTCTATTCCCTCCACGGCTGTGCCCTAGAGCGGTGTCTTCTTTACAGCAGGGATTGGGGGGCTGTAATAATGGGAGCTGTCCCCTGGACCGGCCCAGTGCCCCCTTGGTGGGCAGGGACTCCCGGAGCCAGGTCCGATGGGGCCAGCAGTAGGGGGGGCGGCTTGCACGGCTGCTAGGGCTGGTGTTCAGGAGGGCTCAGACACCTCAATCCGGGGCCAAACTTTCCAAGGAGCTCAGCCTTCCTCCCCCCACTTGGCAGGTCCACTGCTGATCAATGAGAATCTGACCCAGAATCCCCCCCTCCCACTTCCCAGCACCCGGAGCTGAACCCTGTGATGCCAATGAGAGTTTTGCCTGAGCAGAGGCTCTGCAGGGAGAGGCAGGCACCTGAGGGTCGTGGGATGCTGAAGGCACAAAGTTGGCCACTGCTCAGAGACAAGCAGGGCCCCAGAGGGGGAGCAGAGGGACCTGAGGAATCAATGCAAACCCTAGGAGGGAGCCAGCAGAAGGAGCAGAATGGAGCCGGATGGCCAGGTACCTGGCAGGATGCGAGTGGCTGCATTTTGCATGAGCTGCATCCTAGATACGACCCGGAGAGTCGCTCCTGAAAATAAAGAATCACAGTGATGCGGCCTCTGAGAGAGACAAGGCTTTGGTGGGAACTAGGGTGCCCACGTGGGCCCCGTGTGGGTCTCCCAAGGGGCGGGGAAAGGGACTGGGAGTGGGGGATCCCAACGACGGCCCCCCCAAGGGGTATGTGTGACAAAGTGGGAATTTTCAGTAATATTGTTATGACGTCTATGTGTGCCTCAGTTTCCCTGTATGTTGCATTGCAACCTAGCTGGGAGAGGGGGTGGGGGAGGGCTGTATTCTCTTAGGGCAGGTGAAGAGACATGGATGTGAATGGCACCTGGCTGTCAGAAGAACTGGTCTTGGCCAAGGCCTGTATCCCTGGTGAATCCCAGAGGAGAACGGAAACAGTAATATTGTTATGACGTCTATGTGTGCCTCAGTTTCCCTGTATGTTGCATTGCAACCTAGCTGGGAGAGGGGGTGGGGGAGGGCTGTATTCTCTTAGGGCAGGTGAAGAGACATGGATGTGAATGGCACCTGGCTGTCAGAAGAACTGGTCTTGGCCAAGGCCTGTATCCCTGGTGAATCCCAGAGGAGAACGGAAACTCCAGTCACCAGCTCATACACCCCCAGCCAGCAATGTCCCAGCCTCAGGGGAAGATGCATTTCCTGGCCTTGCTGCAGGGAAGCTGAGCACAGACCCCAGCTGAAGAACAAGGGGAGTAGGGAGGAGGGAGAGTTGGCTGCTGGAAGGAGCTGAGGCTCTCACCTGGAAACTGCACAAGGCTGGGGGGGCACATAGAGACAGCCAGTGAGAGCCTGCTCGGCGGGGTCAATCCAGCTTAGCTGAGCTCTGGACTGGCCAGACTGGTCTGTGCTTTAACTTGCAGTTCGCAGGACTGACCTAAGGTCTCCCTGTGCTGGGTTCCAGCTGCAGGCCCTGCTCCATGTAGGAAGAGTGAGGCCACCTCAGGGGTCTGACCTACCAAAAGGATTCCGCCTAGAGACTGTTCCAAAGCTGGAGACAGAGCACTGATCCTGTGGCGCCGGGACAGCTGGTGGCAGCAGTGGGATGCTGAATGCACCAGTAGTATTTGCAGTAAGTGTCTTGCAGCAGTAAAACATGGGTACTTAAAGAACATAAGAATGGCCATACTGGGTCAGACCAACAGTCTATCCAGCCCAGTATCCTGTCTACCGACAGTGGCCAATGCCAAATGCCCCAGAGGGAGGGAACACAACAGGGAATCCTCACGTGATCCCTCCCCTGTCACCTACCTCCAGAGAAACAGAGGCTGGGGACACCATTCCCACCCATCCTGGCTAATAGCCATTGATGGACCTAACCTCCATGAATCTATCTAGCTCTTTTTTGAACCCTGTTAAAGTCTTAGCCTTCACCGCATCCTTTGGCAAGGAGCTCCACAGGTTGACTGTGTGCTCAGTGAAGACAAACTTCCTTTTGTTTGTTTTAAACCTGCTGTCTATTAATTTCATTTGGTGACCCCTAGTTCTTATATGGTGAGACTAAGTAAATAACTTTGCTTTATTCACTTTTTCCACAGCAGTCATGATTTTATAGATTTCTAACATATCCCCCCTTAACCTCCTCTTGTCTAAGATGAAAAGTCCAAGTCTTTTTAAACTCTCTTCACAAGCCAATTAGCCCATCATAAGATGGGATTTTCAGGTCTCCCCTCCACCTCGGTCTTCTCTCCTGAGCTTCCAGTCTCTCACTCCATCTCCATCTCTCTCTCTCCTCCTCCTCCTCCTACTGCCTTCCCCCCCTCTCTTAGCTCGCCTCTGCCTTCTGCCTCCCTCTTTCTCTTCTCCCCCGCCTGCCTCTCACTCTCCTGTTCTCTTCTCCTCCTCCTCCTGTCTCTCAATCTCTCTCCACTCTCCCCTGTCTCCATCAGGGATACATGCTTGTCCAGGCCCCATCCGTGCTGCATGGGGACTGCGGCGCCCAAACAGCTGCTTGCGCCGCTTGCTCCCCCATGGCGGCCTGGCTGAGAGGCACAGAAGTCAGCCGAGCACCATGGCGGGAGGCAAAGGACGTGACTCAGGCAACAGCATCGCCCAGAGGGAACAGCCAGGGAGGCAACAGCGCCACCCAGAGGGAACAGCCAGCATTTCAGTGTTACAGAGGCACAGACACTGGGCTACTATATATATGACTAGGAGACATGGATATCAGGAGCAAATGCTAAGACTATGGAAGAGCTATCTCTCCTGAGAATGAAATAGTTTCTAAGGCATGTTCCTGCAGAGATCCAAAGATACATCCTAGATGGGTAGCCCAAAACCATGACAGAGGCTCTTTAAAGTTTGCAGGAACATCTGGAATACTTCCACCACTTTATGCAGAGGCTGGAGGGTGTCAATATGTGCAGAATAAAATCCAGCACTGTCCCATACCACACCTTCCATAACCTGATGATTTAGCTGCCCCAATTTAGCCAATTTGTTTTGTACTGTTTTCAGGGCTACCGGATTTACTATTCCAGTGCTCAATCCAGCACCTTCCAGGATCACTCCGAAGTTGTTGTTGTTGGTTTATTTATTTATTTTTTTTGGCCTGTTGAATGCCTTCCTTATTCATCATCCAGGTGTTAAGTATGGCATTAGCCCATTTGCTACAGTTGGAATGCATTCGGGAAATATTAATATTTCATTTTAGGGTGACAAAATACTGAATAACCCCTGGTGAAAATACTACAAAATCCTCGGGCATAGCATGCCCCAGGAGAGTGGGTACTTCTGCTGGGTTAGTGGGTTCAGTAGAGAGATAATACTGAACAGTGCAGGAGTCAGCCGAGTGCCACGGCGGGAGGCAAACGATGTGACACAGGCAACAGCACCGCCCAGAGGGAACAGCCAGCATTTCAGCATTACAGAGTTACAGACATTGGGCTTCTATATATATGATATGAGACCTTTTCCAAACTCCTAATCATTTTTGTTGCCCTTTTCTGACCCTTTTCCAATGCCAATATATATTTTTTGAGCTGAGGCAACCACATCTGGACACAGTACTGAAGATGTGGGCTTACCATGGATTTATATAGAGGCATTGAAATATTTTCTGTCTTATTCTCTATCCCTTTTTTAATGATTCCTAACATTCTATTTGCTTTTTTGACAGCTGCTGCCCATTGAGTGGATGTTTTCAGAGAACTATCCACAATGACTCCAAGATCTCTCTCTTGTGTAGTTGTAGCTAAATGAATCCCCTCATATTGTATGTACATTTGGGATTATTTTTTCCAATATGCATTGCTTTACATTTATCAACATTAAATTTTGTTTGCCATTTTGTTCACTTAGTTTGGTGAGATTTTTTTGAAGCTCTTCACAGTCTGCATCGGTCTTAATTATCTTGAGCAGTTTGGTATCATCTGCAGATTTTGCCACCTAACTGCTTACCCCTTTCTCTAGATCAGTGGTTCCCAAACTTTTTGGCATCACGCCTCCCCCTTTTTGATTTTTGAGAAGCCCTCACCCCCCCCAGCACAACTTGGGGGGAGGGGCAGAATTGACTGGGGGCTGGGTTGCCTCATGCCCCCCCCCAGGAATTTCTTCATGCCCGCCCAGGGGAGCACACACCCCAGTTTGGGAACCCATGATCTAAATCATTTATAAATAAGTTGAATAGGATTGGTCCCAGGACAGACCCTTGGTGGACCCCACTAGTTACCGCTTTCCATTCGGAAAACTTATAATTTATTCCTACCCTTTGTTTCCTGCCTTTTTACCAATCATCAATCCATGACAACTTACTTTACTTAAGATCCTTTGATGAGGGAACTTGTTAAAGGCTTTCTGGAAATCTAAGTATATTATATCCTCTGGATCCCCCTTGTCCATGTTTGTTGACCCCCTCAAAGAACTTTACTAGATTAGTAAGGAATGTTTTCCCTTTACAGAAATCGTGTTGACTTTCTCCCAACAAATTATGTTCATCGATGTGTCTGACAATTTTATTCTTTACTATAGTTTCAACTAATTTGCCCAGTACTGATGTTAGACTTACCAGTCTGTAATTGCCAGGATCACCTCTAGAGCCCTTTTTGAATACTGGCATCACGTTAGCTATCTTCCAGTCATTAGGTACGGAAGCTGATTTAAAGGCTTGTTTACAGGCTTGATTAAACGGAAACAGCAAGAAAGTGGTGTATAACCACCTCCCTGGGAAGAACATTGCAAACTGTGCAGGGAGAGAGGGTCAAGTGCCAGGAAACTCAACAAGGTACAGCTGATTGCATGGCTGGAGAAGGACAATCAAACCAAGAAGAAGATTCAAGATCTAAGTAGAGTTCTAAGAGGGTCCATGGGTGACCAAGGCAGCAGCAAATCATCTTTGTGACCTGGTTCCCCATCAACAGACTTGAAGTGGTGGGAATGAGAGCGGAGGACGAAGGGCCTAGAAGACTGTGGCAATCTGCAGAAGCATGAGGAAGAACTTGGAGAAGCAGTGAAAGCATGAACTGGCGATGGAGATGCAGAAGGACAAGAGGACCCACCAAGAGGTAAGTCGAGAAAGACACCAAGCTGTCAATTCCACAGGGAACCTGCACACCCAATTGTTACCCCCGTGTAAGGGGAAGGGATATAGACACCTACTTCACTGCCTTTGAGAAGGGTTATGATTTGAACCTGTGGTTGGCCCTTTGGACAGCTCGGCTATCTCACTCCCTTACTTGGTCCCAAAGCCACACAGGTGTACACCCAGAAGCAAGGTGCTGATACTGGGTGTGAACTACAAAGAGTTCAAAAATCTCTATTCCTTAGGACAGTGTTTCCCAATTTGATCTGGCCACGGAACCCTTTGCAGCTTCAAAGAATTTCAAGGAACCCTAGGGTTGCCAGGGTAAAATTTGTTGACCAAAAAAAGAAAAGAAAAAAAGACCCGCCAAGTCCTGCTGCAATTTGTTGAGCAAAAAAAAAGGCTCTGTCTCTTTAAGAGGGGGTGGGGGAGTTCTCGCAGAACCATTACTTCCACTAAGCACCAAATAGGAAACACCGCATTAGAAGGTCTCAGAGGGTGTTAGTCTGTAACTTTAAAAACAATTACGGGTCCTGTGGCACCTTAGGCTACGTCTAGACTGCATCCCTCTGTCAACGGAGGGATGCAAATCAAGCACGTCGAAATTGGAAATGAAGCTGGGATTTGAATATCTCACACCTCATTAGCATAAACATGGCCGCCGCTTATTTTTTAAATGGAGTTTTTTTGAAAAAACCCAGCAGTCTAGACGCGGATCTGTTGAAAATAAACCCTTTTTCAACAGATCCTGTATCCCTCAAAAAATGAGGTTTGCAGGATCTGTCAAAGATTTATTTTCGACAGATCTGCGTCTAGACTACCATTTTTTTCGAAAACACTCCGTTTTGAAAAAAAGTGGCAGCCATGTTTGTGCTAATGAGGCATGGGATATTTAAAACCCGGCTTCATTAGCAATTTTGATGTGCCTAATCTACATCTCTCTGTCGACAGAGAGGTGTAGTCTAGACACACCCTCACGAGACTAACAAAAATATACAGAATCGTGAGCTTTCATGGGAAAAACCCACTTATTGGCCAAATCCAACAGTCTCTACGACAAAGGATAAATGGACAAAAATCAGACATCAGAAATGGAAACACACATAAATCTGTAGTGGAACATTTTAACCTACTTGGTCACTCAATCATGGATTTAAAAGTAGCCATTCTTCTACAAAGGAATTTCACTTAGCAATTACAGAGAGAGTCTGCAGAATTGGAATTCCGCTACAAATTTGATACTGTTACCCTGGGCTTGAAGAAAGACATTAATTGGTTGGCACATTACGAAGCCAATTTCTCCTGCCTTTAACAATCGCATTTCCACATCAAAAGCCATGAATTGGTCACATTCAGCCTCATTAACATGGGTCCTACAATTGACAGGTAATTCTGCTGTATCTTGATTTCTGTTATTTCCACTCTAACTCATCTGATGAATAGTAATAGAGAGGTAGCTGTGTTAGTCTGATCTTGCAAAAACAAAAGGACAAACTATGTAGCTCTTTAAAGACTAACAAGATGGTTTAATAGGTGATGAGCTTTCGTGGGCCAGACCCACTTCCATCTTGTTAGTCTTTATAGTGCTACATAGTTTTTCCTTTTGTTTTTGCAAGATCAAACTAACACGGCTACCTCTCTATTAGTATTCAACATGCAAGGCACTACATTTAGCCATTTGGAATGGAAATCCATCAACCATATGAAAAAAAAAACACTTGCACAGATCTGAGGAAGTGGGTCTGGCCCATGAAAGCGCTTCACCTATTAAACCATCTTGTTAGTCTTTAAAGTGCTACACAGTTTTTTCTTTCATCTGTTGAAGTGGGTTTTACTCACGGAAGCTCATGATATTTTGCTTAGTCTCTCAGGTGCCACAGGACCACTCATTGTTTCTAGTGCTTAGGTTTGACTGAACACCTGGGGCTTATAGGAAAAGGGCTTGGGGTGAGCCAAAGACCCAGAGTGTGACCCTGTATGAAGCCACCCCTCTGCTGGGAGAATCTCCACTAATATGGGGGAGCTGTCCCGACACTGAGCATTTAAGTAACCTGAGTGTGCTCTGTCCCCAGGAGATGAAAATGTGATCAGCGCCGAGGAAGCTGGGGGTTCAGTCTAGAGCAGTGGTCCCCAACGCGGTGCCCGTGGGCGCCATGGCGCCCACCGGGCCATTTCTGTGCGCCCGCCAAGTGATCACGACCAGCCCCATCCCCGGGCACGTGGTGCATGGGTGGCCCCGCCCCCGGGTGCACAGCGCAAGGGCTGTGCCGGCCCCGAGCATGCAGCGTATGAGCGTCCCAGACACTGGACACATGGCACAGGAGCGGCATTGACCCCAGGAATGCGGCGCATGGGTGGCCCCACCCCCGGGTGCCCAGCGCATGAGTAGCCCCACACCCGGGCGCCTAGCAGCCCCAAAAGGTTGGGGACCACTGGTCTAGAGGCTGTGTAGCTTACCCTGGAGGAAGAGACCTCCTTGGGGGTCTGGCCCATGGAAAGGTTCCTCCTAGAGCTTGGGGAGTAGCCTGGATCCAGTGGATCCCTCATAGCTGGAAAGGGATCAACGGTGACTGCAAGGGTGGGGTCCCAGTGAGGGCTCCCCAAGGGGCAGAGAGTGGGGGGAGCCCCAGGGGCAAGGAGCAAATTTACACGTGAGCCCCCCCCCCCCAAGGCAGCAAGAGAAACACACAGAGAAGCATCAGCAGCTTCCACCCCACTGCTCCAAGCTGGGGGCTCGGGGGCCAAGTAGACCCATGAGGATTCCTTGCCGCTGGTCGCTCCAGGTCACCCCGGCTCCGTTTTAATTTGGATTCAGACCCAGCCAGATTCTCTGTCATGGGACACTGGCCAGCGGCGTCATGCTGCTCTCCCGGTGCCGGCGCTCCTGTGCCCGAGCCTCTGGGGGCAGACGCTAGCCATGCAAGCCCCGGGAGATTTCCATCCGTTGCAGATTGGCCTCCCCTGCCTTGGGTGACAGCTGCCATCCTGGGTCCTCCCAGAGAATCAAGCCTGCACCCTCCCTGCCCCTTGCACCCTCAAGCAGCCTGAACAGACTCAGACCCTGTGCCCTAAAGTGGGCACTGCCATGTCTTCGTGTGACACACTCCCTGGTCCCACCCTCATGGTGCAGGGTCAGTGGCAGTCCCGGCCCGGAAGACCACGAGCCGGGAAAGGAGGCAGGGGGCTTTCTTATCCCCACCCCCACCTCCCTGGGACGGGCCAGTTCTCAGTGTCCCTCTCCAGAATTTCCCACCGGGGGCCAGTGCTGTGAAGCCGCTGGGCTCTTTATAGGCTCAATGGAAACTCTGCCTCCTGATCGGAGAGAAGGGAGCTGGGGTATGGCTGCGACCGCCCCAGAGCCCCCCTCTCCCCCCCAGGGCTGATCCTTCTCCGGTCTCCCTGCCTCATGTAGCAAGCCAGTGCTGGGGAAGGTCAGACCCTGAGCCCAGGCCGGAGCTGACAAGATCAGGAGAGGCCAGACCTGGGCTTTCGGGGCTGCCGGACGGTGGTATCAGGCCCCACTTTGTCCTGTCCATATTATGAGGCCAGGACCTACATCAATCAGAGCTGCCTCAGTGGGACGTGCGGATGCTGCACTGTCAGCTCCACTGCACACCCCTGGCATGGGGGCGAGAGCCGGGTCCCCCCGCCTCTGTGCACAGGGCACAGGGAACCTCCACAGCCGGTGGCCAAGGCAGGCTGCAGCCACCAGAGGGCAGTCGCGCTCCCACAAACCAGACGCCAGGAAGCCAGGCAAGGGCTGTCCTGGAGAAGCCCTTTAGGGGAGTCAACCCATGAGGCAGGGCAGGATAATCAGTTCATCTCAGTGCAGTGTCTCTGCCCAGGACCAGGGCAAACAGGCTCCTGGAGCCAATCCGGGCTAAGTGCTCCAGACCAAGCTGGCAGGAGGCAGACTGAGCTGGACCCGCCTGGGTGCCCCAATCTGTACTTCCACACGTCACGGCCCTTTTGGTCCCGCAGCCACCACCCTCTTTTCCTCTGCCCCACCTTGGGGGCAGCCCCAGGCGCGCTGCTCACCGATGCTGATGGTGTGGGGGTGGCACTTGCCCCCTACGCAGAACCTCCAGAGCCCCTGGTTGCTCAAGTTCCCTGAGTAGCGATACTGCATCCAGAAGTCGGTCGCTGTGGCAACAATGAGAAGGACCAGGCCCGAGACCGCACACAACAGCCCGCCTCCCATCAAGGTGTACATGGCTGGCAGCTTGCAGGTCCTGCAGTTCAGTGGGGCTTTTCTCCTGCACGGGGACAAGAGGAGACTGGGCCTCCTAGGAGAAGGCCCAGCAGAGAGTTACCACTGACTGGGCTGTGCAGCAGTCACGTCTGCTGTGCTTTCTGGCACACTGACCTGAGGAACTCCCTGCTGCAGGAGTTGCATAGCCACTATGGGTGGATTTCAAAGGAGGCAGGGGAATTCTTTGCAAGTACCTGAGTAAGTCAGTCCCATGCTTCAGAGCATGAGCATTATGTAAGGGTCAGGAGGGAATGCCCCCCACCACCACTGTAACATTATATGTGCAGTCGTGGAGTCAGGGTGCGGAGGTCCAGGCCCTGCTCTTACCTGGAAGGGACGAGGCTTCTGCTGACTGCAGAAGAGTGAGACTGAATGAGGTGATTGCCTGACCTGGCATGGGAAGAGGTGGGATACGAAATGGACTGAGCCCCTGATCCGGAGCCTGGGTCGCGGACTAGATGGACCGTGGTTCTGATCCAGTCTGGCAGTCCCTCTGAGACAGCGCTTGGAAGCAACAAACCCACTGGGGCTCAGTCTATTCCGGAGCTTGGTGCATTACACAGCCAGGCTGGCTGCTCCTCCCAGTGCCAGGGAGGCTGCGTGAAGCATGCCCCCCTCCTGGTAGGAGTCAGCCAAGCAGCATGGGGCCCCATGCCCCAGATTGCCAGAGGTAGGGGCAGAAGATCCCACCCACAGTGACGGGATCGGCCTGACAGCAGATGCCTCCTGCTGGCAATGACGTGCAGGGACATGGGATGGGGTGCTGGGGGCATCTGCTGCGTCAGGCAAACGGGGCCTTTTGTTCCCAACAATGAGCAGAGCTTGTGATGTTTCCACAGCCAGAAGAGACCCAGCTGAGTCAGAGCTGGTGTCAAAAGGGCACTCTAGTGCTGGGCTGGGACGAGCCTCCGTGGGGAGGCGCATTCAG